CATTATTTGAATGAGAAAACAAAGACAATACGACATGGTCATTTATCTCTTTCTAACCTGCCGTACATTTTTCATACCGGACAGAATAAGCGATTGTGTATAAGTTTGATTGTTACAATGTATTTTTTCAAATCTGTCTTGTTTCTACTCACGTTCATAAGACACTCTTTTGGTAAACTAAACTTGTTCGATTGTGTCACGCGTCGCATATCGACCCAATAAGCGATTTGCGAGGCGAGTCTAATACAACCACGAGCTTTTTTCTTTATGTAGCGAATTGCTGACTGGAAAGCAAATGCTGACATGTGTGCTAAACCGCCATGTTGACGAACTTGATAAGCTAGATGAAGATGTGCATGAAGAGAAAATATTTCAATAGATGAATTATGCACATTCGACGCTGTGCGACAATAAAAATCGAGCAGACGTTCAGCAAGTAATATTTCTTCTTTTGTTTGAGGTGCATGTAAGAGCTTGATCGCCAATGAATATATAACAAAATGAGAGAAGAGAAAAGAGTTGGTAGATGAGGAGCCATTATAGGGACTCCGACGTGTAACACAAACAGACGAGAGTTTTTAGCTTTCCATTGCCATGCCATTTTAATAGATTCAAGAAAAACAACTTTCATGTTGTGAGGAATACGTAATTGTTGAAGTTTATTGTCGATCTTCAGTATTGTATTTTTGTCTATGCGTGTACACCATCGATTAATCAAAGACGGAATATGACCCAAACACACAAGATGCATAAAGTCATAAATGATCTGTGTAGGATAATTAAATATTTGAAGCAAAGATGATAGACCTTTTATTCCATCCACAGCTACTTCTTTACCACCATTTGATTTGCGCAAAGCTTCTCGGGCTGCTTTGAGATAACCGTCATGTGTACGAGCTGTAAGATCATTGTTTGCATATGGATAAAGAACTTTATTATAACCAGCATCCCAAACTCCTACAAACATATTTAAAAATCTGAATTATTAAATCAAAAAGATGGATAATTTCAGTTTTATCAAAAGAACTACCACAAAAGTTCGTTTATCTTCAACAAATAAAACGTATAAAATTATTTATTTTGATATAGTAAAATTCAGGTTTGTTTTTAGCAATCAAATGAAAAGAAAACATCAAATTTTTCTCGTTGATTGTGACAAATTAAACATCAAGCTTTTCCACAGAACCTGTATATTTAAACAGAAAGTCCCATTCATATTGCGCAATTCTTAAAAAGTTAAATGCTAAGAGATATTTTTCTATTAAAATAAATATTATAGAAGTTTTATTGACTGTAAGAAAAAAGCGAATATTTTAAATGGCAGAAACAAAGAGAACTTACCCCTGCTACAACAAAACGTGCAAGCCGAGTAACCGTTGAAATAAGTTGTACAGCAAAATAAAGCTTTCGCAGGTAAATCTGATACAAAAAATTGAGTAGCAAGTTGAATTTTGTATTCATGATCCTCAATAAAGATCGAGGTTCCATTGTGGATTAAAAATGAAAGATCATTAACAGTTTGTTCCAAGAAAATATTAACATCTGGCTTCTTTTTCGACGCCCACAGTGCAAGAATAATAATATTTGATTGAAACTCCCTCATGGGAGGAGGGAGTTCTGTGATCGACGCAAAACATGGCCAAATTGACTGTTTTGATGAACGAACAAGAGGAGCTCCATCCGAATGCACGATCAAAGTGATTTTATTACTATTCGTGTCCAACATATACTGATATTGTTCTCCAAAACAAATATCACTCGGAGGAAAAAGATGTGATTTATTTATAAATGCAGCATTTCGGGTCATAATCAATTGTATTTGAGCTCGAATATCAAAACGAACAATCTCGATAATCTCTGTACTTCGACATTCTCGAAAGGGTTTTGTGCATTTAGAGTTAGCACAAGTTTTGCGACCTGCACCAGATGTATTGCATAAGTGATAGCAATCACCACAAAGAAAAGTAGTCGAAGTTGATGAGACATGGTGCAGTGGTTCGTTCATACCTTTCCATGTGGACGGCAACATATTTGGCTTTGGTAATAAAGATTTTATCAGACGGAGCAAACTGGTAACCTTCTGTTTGTCTAAGTTTATACTTAAGTAAAAATCGATAATAATACGGATAGCATGGGTAACACTAATTGAAGAACCATTCTAAAATGGACGTGTGTCATCTTCATATTCATTTTCACTGATCCAATCGACATCATCGTCCATATAATTAGTACATGATGGAAGCGAAACATGATCATTTTCAGTTCTCTCGGGCGATATTTCTTCAAGACGCTGTTGTGCTTGATGTCGTTGTGGTGTTTATTTACTTTGTTGGAAAATCGATACATAGAATCTTACAACACAGGAAAAACAATCATCATACAAAGCCCAATGAGCTAAGACAACATTCATTCCAACGATCATCAATATGATACTCGAACTCTATGAATCTTGAATATTTCGATCAATCACATCATTCAATATTTGACCACACTAATGTACACTGTAAAAAACGTTTTTTGTCGCAAATAAAAATACTACGACTATACCGGTGCCTTTTAGCGTTATCGCAACGCACAGAGCGCTTGAATATATTACGATAGTTAGTGTCGCTATTCGGCCAGATAACGCCACGATATGTCGTTTTGGCGCTAAAGCGGCGTTACTGTAGAAACAAGAACGACATGGGAAGACGCCTGCCGGATAGATTAGAAGCGTATTTTGCTCAAACCTATAGCATGTATAAATCTTATTGTTTCTCAGATTTTTAACATCTGTTTCAGAGTGATGACCAACAACCTAATGCGCGTAAGTCGCTCGATGAGTTTGATATTACTATACAACGTTATACGTATCTTCCGACTATTGTAGATATTCAGACAAATAAACTTTTATTATGTTTATTTTGTAACGATATTAAACAAGCAAAAGAATTACTTTTGCACATGGAGGTTAGCATAATAACATATTTATCGACCTATACAAACAGAACTCTTGGATGCATTTTCTTATCATATGCTGTTTTTGTATGGTAGGATTCTGTTGTTGGATGTCTGATTGCGTCAAACGTGTTTAATACAGCTTCACAAATAAATGGTTTAAAAAATTATAAAAAGCGAAAGGAATACGAAAAGCAAGCTGAGTAT